TTTAAGAAAGGTAAAAAATGCTAAAAATATTTTTAACAAATAATTGTGAAAACCAAGTAGTTATCAAACTTAGTTTTAATTTTTACGGTTTGGGTATAAGAACATTATAAAATTGAGTACAAGGGCCTTTTTTTTTTAATAATTTTTATTAACAAGATTGTTAATAAGTAAACAAAAGGGTAGAACAGTTTGGAAATTAAAATCATAATAAAAAAAATATCTCTAAATTTGAGGAGTAAAACGAGGCACCACCCGCAGGAATAATTAAACAAAAATATTATACAAAAAAATAAAATTGGGAAATAAATGTTCCTTTAAACTTCTGTAGCTCTAGGTGTATCAAATTGCCACTAACGAGTAGCAATGAGACACGTGGAATGAAAACAATAAAACACATATAACATTGGAGACTAAAAACTAGAGGGAAATATGGTTCACTAAGCAAATGGACATCTATTATAATTATATATAAGTTCTAATTTTTCTCTCAATAAATTGGTAACTTCCAAAGGATTGAAGCTCAACCGATTAAAAGTATCTATGTCCAATTAGAATTTGAATCTTTTATGTTTTTAACCTAAATGATTTGATGGAGATGTTCATTCTAAGAAATCATCATGAAATTGAAAGTTCATCTTTTTTTTCCCAATTTTTGCTTTTTTGCTTTTTTTTTAAGAAAAATAAGAATTGAGGAACGTGTTTCTCACATTTTTAGGACAAACATGGGTGAAACTTAAAAAAGAGGGTCAATTATCACTTTGGTGTGACTTAAATAGTCGTTTGGTAACATATTTTCAACTTTGTTTTATTGGTCGGTGTCTTTCCAATTTTTATTTATTTTAATCCAAATACTTTTAAAAAGTTCATTTTGATTAGTATACCTATTAATAGTGATGGTTGATTGATAAATTTCGACGAATTATAAATTGCTATATATATATATATATATATATTTTTTTTTTTTTTTGTATCAATTACAAAGTGATGTGTATTCCAAACTGAATTAAAAGACATGAAAATTGGCCAATTAAATCAAGTCAAAAGAAAAAGATCTGATCAAATTATAAATAAACCCGTACACTTGAAGGAATTTGATCAAATCCAAGTAAAATCCAAAATCCATTAAAAAATTGACTAGATGGGCTAAAGCTCAGAGTTGAATTTGTTGGGAGAGAAAATAGGGAGCGCTGTACCATACATCCTGCTACCTCAGGATGACCAGCATGACAAAATCAAGATGCTGATGATTGAGAAATACTTAGGCTTAGAGGGTGGTCTCCTTTCTTGTGAATGCTCAAGGTAGCAAGACTCAGACTAGCAAAGCTCAAGTTAACATGAAAGCTAAAATTAGCACAAGTGTAGCCCATAAACCCAAATCCACATAAGGCTCATAGAGAACCCTATAAACAGGGGGATCAACCCTCATTTGGGGAAAAAGATTTCCATAAAACTTCAAAAAGACTTCCACATATGAAAAACTCTTTTGAAGTGTAGAATTTTGAATTTAGACAGTAAAGTGAAGTGTCGTACTAAAACTTTAATCGAAGTAAATAAGATATAAATGAAAATAAAGAGACCAAAATACACATTTTACAATTACAAGACGGATCAAAATACTATTTAAACATTTTTTTCTTCAAAACATACTAAACCAACTTTTAGTAGCCTCGTTGGACCACACATCTTTCTCTACGGTGTTGTTTTCGAGACAAGGTTGGCATCTTCGAAAGAAACTTAAGCCCTAAGTAGGAAAGAAGCATTCGAAGAAGCACTTTTTTGGAGCAACATCAATGATGCCGGCCAATATGAAAGCACTTTTTGCAGTCCCACTATTGTTTTTTGCCATTGTCTTTTTCCAAAAGCCGCATGTCATGGCTATCTCTCTTTTCTCTCAACAAATATTCAAAACCTTTGCTCTTTTTAAACTCCCATTGATGTGACGATGCTTTATATGTTCAAATTAAAGTCCCATTATCATTGACTTTTAAGCTTCCCAAAATTCTTCACCTAATAGTTGCTTTCTTAAATACTTAGATTAATTAGTCTCTTGTGATCCAAAAGAAAAAATAAAAAGAAGTTTAATTGTATGGTATAAATAGGAGTTTTTTATGTGCAAAATGTAAGATTATTATTTTTAAAATATGTTATAAATTATAATTAACTTGACAGTTTGTCAAAAAAGAGAGAGAAAGAATAGAAAAATTCAATAGACTGGTCAAACTTTTGTGCTCTATCAGAGAGTTCAGTATATTTAATTTATTTATTTCATTCGAAGTAGAAATGGTCATTGTAAATCATTAAAATTTCCAACTTTATTAAAACAGTGATAGCTCAGGTCAGCAGACCTTTTCAATGTGAGCAAATTGTCCCAAAACTAATTTCGAAAAAATGGGAAATACCAAATGTGTACACAAATTATGCGAAAATGACATTTTCACCCCGCAGCGCGTGACCAAATCTTGACTAGGACTATGAAATGATATTTTTTACAAACTACCTTTGCAAAAATTAAAAATAGAAAAATAAAAAGAAAAGAAAAGGAGTTTCTCACCAGCTTCAAAATATTTTGAAAAAATGGGAATATATAAGATTTATTAATGAAGTTTGGAGAATTTTAAAATTAAACCCACTCGTGATTTATTTACTAAGGGATACAAAAGTGAGCTGGAATGGTAGATCAATGAGATCGTTTTTAGTACAAAACAATTGTGGAAGTATGATTATTTGATCTTATAAACTCAAGAGAATGTGAGTAGTTACATTTATGGATAAGCTATCTTTATATTAGGAATTAGGGAGGAAGTATTTAGTGTTTTGAATAAACAAAATAAAATTATTGTCACATTTGTCCAAAATTATTTATTGAAGTTTTCCCTTTTAATTTAATCCTAAACAACTTTGTTAGCATAAAATTACGTCATTCATTTACGTGGTTCATAATTTTATTTAATGATTTTATTTATAAATAAATACATGGCTGAAATACTAAAATGCAAATTGTTATTGTGGGAGAGGGACCATTGACACACACACACATATAATTTAAGTTCTATTTTTATCCTTTGACCTTTTATTGTTATCCCTATTTTAACATTCATATTTTAAAATATTTTATTCTTGAACATGGTATAATTTTTTTTCTTTTGTAAAAAAAAAAATTATTTAACAAAATATCTAAACCTTTTAATTTCCAAATTTGACATCAAATCTAATACAAACAGCTTAAAACACAAGTCAATGGAATACTAAAAATTTCAATTAAAAACAACAACTAGAATAGATTTCAAATTTCAAATTTCAATTAAAAGAAATTTAGAGGACATTGTACTATTTTTTAGAACATTTGATTCTTAAATTTTAGAAAATTACATGTATTTATGTAGATTTGGGTTATAAACCTTGAGTTGTAGTCAATGATTAGACTGTATAATAAAATTTTTTATGGTATTACGTAACTTTTTTATTAATATATTTGGACACATATAAACATGTCACTCTTCCAAATGACATATGTAAGTGGCGTGCAACAAATTTAAATAGATTAATAAAACAATAATGTACCCATCATCTTTCTGTTAACACATTTTGATATATTTTTTAATTAAAGATTATATTGCATTAAGGATAAAAATAAGAATTTTAAAAGATACCAAATTAAGAAAAGTCTTGAAAAATTAAACTCTCTTTAACCAATAATTTTTTATTTTGAGACAAATTAGAAGAGTAATATTAAAGATCTCAGATAAAAGAAGAGACATTACATAGGTGTCTATCATAGATATTGGCTACTCATCTTCAATTGATTTTGAAATGAACCTATGAATATTAACATGATATCAGAGTTCAAAATGTTCAAACGAAACAATCCATCAAAAAATAAAATCCGATCAAAATTGATGAGTCAAAATAACTACGACATTAAGGGGATACGTTGGAACTCATGAATATCAATGGACAACTCATTCATATTAACGGTAACGTTCCATACTGTTCAAAATTTTCCAGTAACCAAATACCTCGACAAAGCTTAGCCAAATGCCAACAAAAGTAAATAGAAGATTAGAAAATCCAAAATTAAATTGAAGTTTCAAAATCTTGATATATACAAAGTACAGCTTTAACAGACAAACCAAACAAAGTATATAATAACAGAGAGAGAATAAAAGAGCAAGTTTAGAGAGAGAGCGGCAGATGCAGTCGCCGTGCCTGGGGCAGATCTCCGCCGCATGCGGCGGCGTAG